TGTGTTGTGAGTGGGTATCAGTAGAGACTAGAGAGAGAGAAGGAGAGAGAGAGAGAGAGAGAGAGAGAGAGAGAGAGAGAGAGAGAGAGAGAGAGAGAGAGAGAGACGGATCGTAGCACGAGCTAACACCGCAGGACAGACTCCGTTACGATGCACGCGATCTGTTTAACTTCGTGTGTGTACCGGTCAGACGTTTCAGTGCGCGTCCAACGTTGCTCGAGTGCGCGGGGACCGCCGCGTGGTAAGGTTATGCGAGGCGGGACGCTTGTGCTTGTTGTTTAGTTACAGTTCACACCGCCGCGAGTAGGCTGTCTTGTTGTCGACCGAGTTCAATAAACCCACCGATAACGTACACACGCGCGTAAACTGTAGCTCTCTTAGTGTACATACGTGTAACTGTAAGAAACTGTACGAACGCCAGTACGTGCGTACGAACGTTACACACAGGTCTGTGTGCGTGCGTGCGTGCGTGCGTGCGTGCGTGCATGTCCATACGTATATGTATCGCGCCTGTATCGACTTTGTCGGCCTCGTGTATTGTCAGCATTACTGGCGCAAGGAAACGCACAACCCAGTCCACTTCCTTCTGTAAGAAAGATGTTTTTACTTATCTAACCGTCATAATCTAGGTCTGAAAAATAAAATAGCAAGTGTTCATATTTGATGAAAAATTAACATATATTATTATTTTTAAGTACGTTTAAACTCTCACACAAAAGAGGTAATCTTTAAACTCCAAAATACATTTGTTCATAGGATAATAAACATGAATAATAAAAATATATGGAAATTATTATTCAGCATGGAACTATAATATTTTATCATTATCTCGTTGGGAACACGGCCAACAAACCATAGTTACACAACCCTGGAACACATGAGAAACTAAAAGCCATTTGATGACTTGAATATGTCTAAAAGCACAACAGTATTGCATATTTTTGACAACGTTGTAAGATAGAAGAATCTCTCAAACCAGCTTCAACAAAGAGAAAGCATTGCATTCCGACGGCAGGGACGCGGGGTGCACACACGCGCGCGCGTGCCTGCAGCGACAAATCTAACAGATCTCGCACGCACGCGCGCGTGCACGAAGTCTGCGAACACCAAGGAGCATCGCCGTCATTCTCGACTGAATTGATAATTGATTAAACTTTCTCTCGACTTTATTATTATCATAATTTATACGCGCGGGCGAGATGCGGAGCGCGTCCGTGCACGTGACGTCGGCGCCCCGAACCTCGCTGAATGCGCCCCTCAAAAATTCATATATGTCTCCGCTCGCACGATAAAAAACGCGTAGTCTGCAGCTTAAATACTCTTCTAAACACGTGTACAATAGTATCATCACCCTAGAAAAAGGCAAGAATATGAAGAACTGATGAGAGAGAGAGGGAATTAAAACGAATTCAGCAGCAGCGACTGATGATCCGACTGAGATCTTCACACGCACAGACACACACACGCACGCACACAGAATTAGACACGCGCGCGCTCAACAACGCCCGCACGCACGCGCGCGAGTTGAGCGGCGCTCACGCTGGTGGAGAATTTCTGCGAGAAACATATATATATATATATATCTCATCATTATGCCAATACACAAGAACCAGCTTTCTCACACTCGCACTCTCTCTCTCTCTCTCACGCTCACGCTCTCGCTCCCGCGCACACACGCGTTCACTCGCTCGCTCTTGTTTCCTTCCCTACAGATATGATTCACAACAGTACAGCGGCCTTGGTGATTAATATATACGGAGCCCAGGTGCATTCGATTTCACCTCGCAGTCACTAACCCTCACGAGCAGCGCGTGTCACAAACCGGGATTTCAACTCGAGCCACACGCACACGTACACGCACACGCACACATACATAGCTTCCCGTGCTGTACTGGCATGATGGCCGCGTGCGAGAGAGGCGGGCAGAAGCCCTCACAACCCGAGCGCGCCACTATAGGGGCGCCACCGGAGGCCGTCGCCAGCAGGTGTCGCCGCCACCCGGAGATCGGCGCGTTGGGATACAGCACGTACGAGCGGGCGTCCGGCGAATGCGTCGGCATGTAGCTATTCTGACAAAATGCTTTACTTCTCTACCACAACTTACACATCGACACAACACCTGAATTGCAACACCTTAGTCGCACGGCGATACGACAACGATGACGACGACGACGACGACGGACACAGCACGCGCACGCACGCAGTTTGATACGGAACATTCAATCATTTACGAACTTACAATACCACACTTTTTTATAGAACGCACTAGGCAGCCCATACACACTGAGACATACTTTGCATAAATTTTGATTATTGCGTAATATAAATATTTGAGCCAGCTGCATTCAACCTAATGCACTCCGCCTCCCTGATTAATTCGCAATGTTCCAATTTTTTGGTTTCTTGCATTAATACGGCGACTATCATATTGTCTTGTAAACTGTGCATATACAGAATAAACTACATATGTCACAAACGTGCTGGATATGATATACATATACAATTATATATTTATGAAGCTTGTGCTAAATAGGGTTATACAGCTTTCGAATGCACCAATTAATGCAATCTGCACCCACGACAGTACCACACAATCGTACTCAGGGACACAGTATCTTGCTATTTCCTGTCTCTGTGATTTGAGATGCTTAATAAACACATCCGACAAGGTGGAAGACTATTTGGCAAAATAAATTTAACACAAAATCTGGCGCGCGTGTGCCGTGCAGCCCGCCGCGTTGCTGGCCTGCAGTAGCCAGGAAGGCGGTCGTTGCAGGGGTTTGGTGCGGGAGGCAAAACGGCGCGCGCCCGCCAGAAGCATAACATAAGCAGTGTGTAACAAAATATTTACTGAAGAAAACGTCTTCCCTACTTATCAAGAGCAGAAAAATAAAACAATAATTTTCTTATAATGTCAGCAGATACATATCGGTACACCAGGCCTGTTTGGCTCCAAAATAAAATTCTGTAGATTCTGTCATCACACCTACATATACACAAACGGTAGTAAATAATATATTAAAATAGAAATACTAAACTAACATGTGCAACAAATCATACAAGTCGGTCGCTACTATACAAATGCGGTACGAAAGCTTTTTTTACTCTGTTTTCTCTGGTGTCTTTTGATCACATACAAAGTCCCATCTCTGGGCTCTTATCATTTATATAGAATAAAATAAAGTACTTTTGACTATAAAACATCTGCTGGGTAAAATATATTAAACTAAATCTCATAACATATGCATTCCAAGCTGAATGCCATATGCATTCGTTGCTGAACGCAATTAGTGACGTCACTATGAATGAGATACAAAATGGCAATTTTTAGGCCATTCCTATCACCAGTGGTCAACATTTGCCTAGCAAACTAAAGTACTCTTGACTGTATGACGTTTGTCCGACAGACTCTGACCATCGGCGACTGGCATGCAATAAAGCTTTTCCCAGCTATAAGTAACGTATAGATCTTTTCATTGTGTTCATTCTTACTTTTTCGATGCATGTAGAAATTTATATGCTCTGAATATTATCAACAGCCGGTCCGGGCGAGAGCGGGAACCCTTTGCGCAAAACAGATGCCTTTAAGGGGGACAGAAGGGGGAGAAGTCTGGGAGGCAGGGGGCAAGAAGCAACAAGGTTAATCTCAATTATGTGCATGGTTCGAGAACGCGATCTTGGGCGGGGGCGGGGGGAAAGGGGCAGAGGGAAGGACCAGAACGGCCGAGGGCGGGGGAAACGTGCGCGGAAGGAGGGGCGCGCGAGGGCGGCGGGGAGAAGTTACGAAAATATGCGCAGGGCCTGAGAGACGGGGTTGTGACAGACGGGGCACTCGGCGTCCGGCTTGTCACACATGCGGCTCGCGCACTCCATGCAGAACAGGTTGTGGCCGCACGGCACGAGCGCCGCGACCACCTCACTGTCGAAACAGACGATGCAGTCGCGGCCGCTCTTGCGCCGCGAGCCCGTCGAGTCGGTCGGACTGCTCGACATGCTGCCGTTGGCACTTGAAGAGTGGTGGAACTTGACGTTACCATTTGGCAAGGGTGTGAACGACGGCAGGCCGGCCATGCCCCCGCCGCCGCCGCCTCCGCCTCCGCCGCTGCTCATCGGGTCGCTGTGCAGGCGCCGCGCGGGCTGGTGCGGCGGATCCACGTCGATGAGCGACGTCGGCGACAGACGCTGCGGGCTCGCGCCGCTGCCGCCGCCGTTGCCGAGGCTGCTGCTGCGCTGCAGGAAGCTGCTGCTCGTGCTCGTGCTGCCGAACAGCGTCACGGCGCCTGCAGGCCACATGCTCGTCGCCGTCGTCTGCACGGGGTCGAAGCTCGGCGACCCGATGCCCTCGTCGTTGTCGTACATGCCGAATCCGCCGCCGCCGCCGAACGAGTCGCCGGCGCCGAATCCGCCGTTGCCGGCGAGCTTCGTCGAGACGCCGTTGATGCCGGGAAACGTGAAGATGCTCGCGTCCTGCGTCGACGACGGGCTGAAGATATTATTGCTATCTCGGTAGGAGGTGAAGGCAGAGTTGGTGGAGCCGGGCTTGTAGATGCCCCCGACGAGGTCGCTGCCGCCGCCGCCGCCGGCGTACGTGTCGCTACCATTGCTCATGCCGTTGCCGTGGTAATCGCCGCCGCCTCCGTCGTCGCCGCCGTCGGGCGCGCCGCCCGTGCGCGCGGCGATGTGCGCCTCGATCTCGCGGCGCGCGCTCTCGACGTTGTCCGGCAGGCCGGTCACCTCGAAGACTGGCTCCTTGTCGCGGCTCGGCGTCACGATGTACGTGTGCGTCTGCTGCTGGATGCGCTTGATCGTCGCTCCCTTCGGGCCGACGACGAGGCCGACGACGCGGTACGGCACGCGCACCTGGATCGTCGTCTGGCCCGGCGCGCTCGGGGTCGGCGGGCCGCCGCCGCTGCCGCCGCTCAGACCGCCGCCGCCGACGCCCATGCCGCCGCCGCCGTTTCCGCCACCGCTCATGCCGTTCTTGCGCGAGGCGCGGATCTGGCTGAAGTGGTCGGCGGCGGACAGGATCTCGCGCTTGGCGGCGTTGACGTCCTCCTTGCGGCCGGTGACGACGAAGACGGGCTCCTCGCCGCGCACCGGCGTCTTGATGTACGTGTTGGTCTTCGCTCGCAGCGCTTTGATTTTGCAACCTGCAACAACGGACGCACGCCAACTGTGGTGAGAAGAGAGAGAGAGAGAGAAAGAGAGAGAGAGAGAGAGAGAGAGGACGAAGACAGGCGGAGGTGGCGGGACGATGCGTAGAAGCCGCCGGGGTTAACAACGCGCGCAGCCTTTCGTAATTAGTTGTTCGACGCCGAGCATCAGGGGGGTTTGAGGTCAGCAATCGGCTTATAAAGAACCACTCTCATGCGCACGAACGCATGGTTGTGCAATAGGTCAGCTACGTTGCCCGTAGCGTAGGGCAGAACACGTGTTGCATGGCGAGGGGTCGTGCACGCGACTAGCGTTTGTATTCGCGGCAGCTCGGGGTCGCGTCCACATTTAATGTTTTTGTTCACTGTGGCTCGGAGGGGGGGGGGGTGCATGTTTACGATGACTAGCGCTCGCATACGCGGCGACTTGAGGGACCGTATCAGACTATCTACGGCTCGTGCTTGTGTTTGGTTCGGCTTGAGGGGTCCTGTCTAAGGTGATCAACGATTTGTGTTCGCAGCGACACGAGGGGCCGTATACACGTCTCGTGTTTGTGTTCGCTGCGCCTCGAGGGGTCGTGTCTACGGTGACTAGCGAGGGGTGTACTTGGAGGAGGGGTGTACTTGCGGCGGCTCGAGGGGCCGTCCCCACGTTAGTATTCGCAGCGGCAGCTCTCGGGGGCAGTGTTGACGCGCACGGTTTCACGTACCGTAGCCGAGCGGCCGGCCGCGCAAACCCTTCCGGCGTCGCGTCGTACGTGAACGAACGACGCAAGAAGCTCCCGGGCGCTGACGACGGCTCTAGCTCGCACGCTTTTCGCAGGCGTTTTTCTTTATTGCGTGCACCACACAGCAGAACCCAGGAGCCACAGGCGTTCATGACTGACTGACACGCCGCAGTCTCTCCCCTGCGGTGACAGCTGCTCGCCGTGTCCACACGATTCTGTCCAAATCGCCGACGCGCTGCCGGGTACAGCGCGCTGCGCGGCACAGGCTGTGCGAACTCACGCTGCGAAGGGGCTTCACCGCCATGGTGATTGCTGCATGGCCGCTATGCAGGCGTGCGCAGCAGCAGCAGCGGCGGAGGCAGCTGCAGAAAATGCTCATCACCTCGACAGGCGTGCGGTGCAGACGACAGGGTGTTTTTGGGGGTGACGACGATAAGAGAGACGTACCGTGCAAACACATACAGCGTCGGCGATCGGGCACAGTATTTTTTATGTGCAGCGGCGGCGCTGCCTAATACTATAGCGGGTGTGAACTCGCGAGTGCATGTACGCAACCGTGGTCGGTCGCACGCCGCTTAGTGCCAGTTACTACAGCATTTCACTGTGTTACAGGCTACAGGCCACGCTAATGTCTCATTCCTGCTATATGGCGCTTGACATGGGGAACGGCTCCACACTTACAAGAACGGTAGGCTACATCTGAACTAGTTACAAAAGCCAAGTACGTATTCATCCCTTGTGAGAGCCAAGAGTGGGAGCCAAGATACAAGATACGCACACTGCCTGTATTTCACGATGATAAATTTACCAGCACACACACACACACCCGTTTACTGGTTTAGTTGGCTATGCCCGAACATAATCATTACTGGCTCTAATCGTAATACACACAAGTTGGCCCAATCCCAGTTTAGCACCCCAGATTAGTTTAGCACATTTGCGAAAACACATTTGCGGGGGTCCAAAACTAGGATTGTGCACCAGTCTATTTTCATACGTGAATTTTGGAAAGCATCTTCCATCTCCCTAGGGTACGGATCCGATATAGGATGGTCTGTAGCCGTAACGTAATGTAGGCTATATATACGCAGTCACTAGAATTACGGTACGTGCATTGGATGTCGACTAGACATTTCAAGCTGTGCACACGCCATGCTAATATGAGACATACAACGGCCAGCTCAAGATGGTTGTGAGAGCAAAGCCGATGTGTTACACTACATAGGTAGTTCTCAATCTCGCCATGCTCTCTATCCTTGTCCGCGTTCCGCGTTAGTCATACGTCAGGTTGCCACTGGCCTGACCTTTGTTCAGCAGTCAGAGTCACCAAGCATTGCACGCACACCCAAGCACGCAGCTGCATGACGATTTTAGCCGACAATTTTAGGAAGTAATTTTAGGTTTCATGCGGTGTCTAATGTTTCGCAAATTTGCGAAATGTCCTACAGTGCGTTTTAGAGGTTCGGGGAAAAACTAACCGTAAACGAGTACGAAAAAACGTCGAACTGTGGATTAGGTATCAGGAGTAGATTTATATCATTTCGATCACGCAGTATTCAAATTTGGTATTTAAGATTTCATTCATTTTTACACAGCGCGGCAGAGATTTGTTGGCGGCTATCGACAAATACTCTCAAAATTCCAAACATATCTTCTTAACACATACCATGGCATCCATCTATCACGGCTAAATGTCCTCCAGGCAATTAGTTTTAGAAAATCAGAAAAACTAACAAAGTACACAAATGCTTGGCAAATACCAACTTAGATAATTTCGACTACAGATTAGTACTCACAATTTCTATTTTAATTTTTACGGATTCACGCGTACGGCTCAGCTGAGAGGCCTCGGTCAACGGAATAGAAATGTGATTGTGATCTGATTGTAACATTATGTATCATGCACGCACTTCCCTAATTCTCTGAACTAAGTGAAAACATAAAACTCTCATTTTTTAACGAAGGAGAGAACATCAAATTTTACTTGTCAGCAGTACTACAAGTGACCGTGAACCGACCTCGTGAACTGCTTATATAATGGAAATGATAACTGGTCTCGTGTACGCTCGTGCCAACGTTCGGAGGCGATGCAGCGGCCATTGCGCGAATAAACGATTGTTAACACGCCATTTCCTGTCTGCCGCCTTGCTAAAGAAACGACAGATGCCGTGTAATGGAACTTACCCTGTCGTCCAACAATCTCTGCAACATGTTCAGAGCTTGGTACAGGCACACACTCGGTCATGTTTGAGCTTTTCCTGTTGCGATCACCAAAGTTGGTTGACATAGAATCTTCTTCGCCATTTGTACTGCCGGATTCGTTCAAACCAAGCATAGACAGTTCAAGTGCTATTTGTAGAGCTCTTTGGTCTTCTAAACCACCGCCGGTGCGTTCCATCTCGGTAAATAGACTAGTAGGCATCACAGGGAAGAGTATACGAGAATACAAAACACGCAGAAATATAAAAATAGCGTATAAAGCTCAAAACGATGTGATACTGGCTACACACAACCAACAGTTTGCGTGTTACCTCTTGGCGCGACAAACGCCTTTATGAAGCTTACAACGACGTCACGGTCATTTACATAAGAGCATGTGATCACCGCCTGATTGGTTGCCGGCCGGCGAGATAGGCGGAGTTAAGGCTAATGTCGCACTGCCGTTGAGGCTCGTCAGGGATTTATAGTACAAGTTTCCGCTGACCGATTTCTTTCAAATAGAGAGAGTGCCACTCTGAAATGGCGGGAAAACTTAAGCGATGTTGCTGCTGCCACTACGTATAGACAAGCACAGACGCACACGGTCACACGCACGCACGCAGTCAGGCATGTACGCACACGCGCACGCATGTAGAAGGGTGTATAAAACTAACTTTTGTGCACAATGTCATTGATCAGTACCGATTGATCATTGATCAGTATAAAGATTTATACCGGCATAAGACACGAAGATTGACAAAGTTCGTTTGAATAAATAATTATTAGATGATTTAATCTTCATGCATTATGGTCTAAATCTTCTTTATAAAAAATATTACAGACACGCGCGCGCACGCGCGTACGTACACACCCACATCCACACGCGTACACGCACGCACGCACGCACGCACGCAAACACACACACACGCACGTACAAAGGGACGCAGGTACGCACGCAGGCACGCAGGCACGCACGCACGCAGGCACGCACGCACGCACGCACTTTCACTATCTATTCCACTCTCTTCATTCATTGATTAATTTTCGACATTGTTTCATTAGATATTGTGTATTTTATTACGCTTCCACAAGAATTGCTCATTGGCTCGAACGTGCTTCCATCGCTGCGCAAAAGCTGTTCCATGCTGCGCAAAAGCCATGTTTTCCATGCTGCGCAAAACTGTTCCATGGTTGTGTGATTGCCGTTCCATGTCACGTTTAAATCCGTCCTTCATGCTATACGCGAGATCTGCTTCTACGTCAAAGTAGAGCGTGTCCCATGTTGGCCTGTGAATTTTTCAAGGCGCTAATAATACCTAGTATCGTAGAGACAATCGGTTTGGTCTTGTTTTAGAGAGAAAAATGCTTGCTTAATGCCACATATCATAACTCTATTCTAAGATCGCCAATCAAAGTTTAAATATATTGTCGTTGAAATACCACTATTTCTCCCGTTTTCCCGTTGTATACTCTTAGTATTATATGCTCATGTGGTGTTGTTTCATATGTTTGCATACCCAAAACCATGCCTTTTCATTATTGCGATCACCGGTATGTTGCCTTTTCCTGTTAGAGGCATCTTATTTGTATACCGACGTGTGTTCCATGTTGAGTGTCTCCTCTTGACTAACCTCAATCAGTCGTTAGTGAATCGGACTCCTGACAATCGCATAGGCGTGTGAGGTCAATCGACATTGGTCAATATCGGATTCTTCTGCCCGGCATTGTCGACTCTTGTTCCTGTGTGTTTGCTTGTGATCCCCTGCCTCGTCTTAAACATCTCATTCTCTAACGCTCCCCTCACACCTTTCTCCCACGCCTCTATCCGCGCGATCTATCACCCCACTCAACCACCCTTCTCTTATATCGGCTCTTCATTCTCTGCTTATACGACCCCGCTGCCTTCACGATTGCCACACGCCGGCGCAGCCTCTCTGTCGTTCGTGCCGACCGCCTTTGTGTCTCGCTTGTACTTCGCGGTCGGACGACAGATTCGTGTGCGGCCGGACCGGGCCCAGCTGCGGGCGATGGTCGCCGGGCCCTCACTGCCTGTGTCGTTGTCATGGTCGCATTAGACCGCGGGCCGCCTTCCTCCTTCGGTCGGGCTCCGCGAGGTGCGCTTTGCTAGCGATGTATAGCGAGCGCGGTTCGCTCATAAACTTTGTTCGCGGCGGCGCGGGATGTTTTCCCTGTCCCAGTTTTATGTCGAATCGGTTTAGGCGGAGCGGCAGCTGCCTTCGCGCACCTGTCCGCCGTGGAAGGCCAGGTCGGCACACCTGTGCTCTCTTCCCCCCCGCCGGTGAGAGCAGATGCGGACACCTGGCGCGCACAGGTACGCGGCGATGTCGCCGTGTCCTCACGCTGCTCGCATCGCCTACCACGCTACCCTATAACGTTCAGTCTACGCGCCTCATACTTACGTCCAGTCTGAACATCAGGGCTTCTGACATTAGACTTCATCACCATAGACTGGAGACACAATGGAGGAATATACTTGTTACTTATCTTACCGCCCCAACAATGGCTACCCATGATCACACAACCTTCCACATACACTGTACCTATGATCATCTTACCCCTTTCTGCGTGGCTACCACATGGTCCACTCTACCTTCCACTATGCTACCCATGAATACTTTTACCTTCCACCACGCTACCCCATGACCCCATTACCTTTCACGAGCGCTACCCCATGAACACGCCTACCTTCCACTATACTACTCATGACAACCTTTACCTTATCCACTATGGCTACCCGATGTCCACTCTTACCTTCCTACTTTGCTACCATGACAAACTTTACCTTCCACCACGCTTACCCCCTGACACGCTTACACTTTCACCACGCTACCCCTGAACAACCCTACCTTCCACTCATGCTCACCCTATGACCACCCTACCTTCCACGTATGCTACCATGACCACCCTACCTTCCACTAGTTGGCCCATGCCACACCTACCTCGTCACTATGCTACCCATGTACCACCCTACCGTTCCACTTATTGCTACCCATTGCCCACCCTCTTCCTACTTGCTACCCATGGACCACCCTACCTGTCACTATGCTACCCATGACCACCTTACCTTCCACTATGCTACTTATGACAATACCCTACCCTTTCACACTGAATAATACCCATGGACCACCTACCTTCACAATACTACTATGACCACCCTACCTTCCACCACGCTACTCCCATGGACCACCCCTACCTTCACTATGGCCTACTCATGACTTACCCTACCTTCACTATGCTACTCATGCGTTCACCCTACTTCCACTATTACCCATGACCACCCTACTTATCCACTATGCTACACTGACCACCCTCAGCTTCCATATACTACCATGACACCTTACCTTCCACCCACATACCCCATGACCACCCTACCTTCCACTTATGCTACCTATGACACCCTACCTTCCACTATACTTACCCATGGACCACCCTACCTTCCACTATCTACCATGACAACCTTACCTTTCCAGCCACACTCCCCATGCAGCCACTTCCTATTCCTAATACCATCCTACTTCACTATGCACTCATGACCACCCTACCTTTCACTACTGCGCTACTCATGGACATTACTTTACTCAGACTCTGCCACCTTCCACTTATGCATACTCATGACAACTCCTACCTTCACCCGCTACCCCAATGACCCACCTACCTTTCCACTATGCTACTCATGACCACTCTTACCTCTCCCTATGCTACTCCCCCATGACCACCCTCGCCTTCCACTATGCATACTCACTTGACCAACCCTACCTCTCCACACGGCTACCCCATACCACTCTACCTTCACACTATGCTAACCATGACCACCTACCTTGCCACTATGCCTACCTCATGACACACCTGCCTTCCAACTATGCCTATCATGACAACCCATATTCTCTCACCACGCTACCCCATGACCACCCTAACCTTTTCCACTATGCCTACCCATGACCACCCTACCTTCCTATCTACTCTGACTTATCTCACATCGTACTCTGACAACCCTTACCTTCCACCCACCTACCATGCAACTACTTCACTATGCCACATGCCACCCTACTCAATAGCCTATGCACCTACCACAAGCTACCCATGACCACCCTATCCTTCCACTTATGTTACCATGCT